TTTCCCTTGCAACTGCAGCCATTTTACGTCCTACCCTCTGAATATTTTTCTTCCGATTAGCCTCTTGCAGTTGAGCTTTCCTTTTCTTCCTTTCCGCCTGTATGCAAAAGAGTCTACATTGAGGATCTCTTCCAATAGGAGATATTTGGATTGATACCATAGAGAAACTTCTAGTTTACAAAGCAAAAAATCAATTCAAATGTAGCACTGGTATTTCGTTAAGTTTTAAGAAAATCATTCTAACCCTTTAGACTCAACAAATTTTTAAGTTGTAAAACAACCCATCTTACTTGGATTGACATTACTGTCAATTATTCATCTGTGGAATACTTATGACATTCAATACCAAATAAACTTGCCACCAAAGTAAAGATAGTTCCATTTAAAACTTGCATCATCTACTCTAACTAAATGCAGTTATACTTTTCATATTCAATGTTCATGAAGGTTACAGAAATAAATGACAATGAAGTCCTCAAAAGAATTACAGGGATATAATAACAAGATATGCTTTCATTTTAGTGACAATGAGCAAAGCAAACATGAGGCAAAATTTATGCTGGTTTATATTTTTGGTAGGCACAAAATTCAGGCTAGTTAAATCCATGAGAAAGCAACTAAAGAACCAAAATTAGTTTATGTTGTAATTTTACAAATCTAAAATAGGCAAACGTGGAGATGCTAAACCAGTGAATGATAATACATCATCCAAATAATCAGTGTAAACTACTCTGAATAAAAAGATAACAATAACACCATTGTTCAAAACTCTTTCACCTTATATACTACTAGAAAGATTAGATGTTCTCCCATCCAACTTATAATGGAAAATTGATACTACATAAAAGTTTGTTGCCAATTAAAGAGTCCTCTTCATCATTAAATAAGATGACTCAGGCAACAACAACAATAGCCTTATCCCACTAGGACTAGTAACATGAAACTCATTTCCGAATAACTATTCATTTTGTAACCATCATCCTTTTCTCACACAATCAAATCAGAAAGTAGAATGAAATTTTGTCATCCTTTTCTCTTATCAGAAGCATATGATTACATTTAGAAAAGGGTCGTCATTTTCTTTAAACACAAACATAAAACACTGCAATACCAATATAAAGGCGCGGCGCTGCCTCATCCGTTTCTTCTCATTTCTTCTCTTGACACTCCCTTCATTGGGCTTATTTGGAAGTATGGGCTGGCCAGGTGTATATTCAACCCAAGCATAAGGCCCTGAACCACATACATAGAGCATTTCAAAAATTGACATCAATTTCAAAATCAAAAGCCACACAAAAAAGGACGCACCAGAAGGTCTCAAACTGGCCCTCTTTCGACGAGGCTTATCAGAGGGTCGTCTCTTGGGGAAGCGCGTGTCGGTCAAGCTGTTGAAGTGCTTCGAAAGGGGAAGAAGCCATTGCGAAGATGGCAAAGCAGGACGAAACGGTGCCGTTGAAGCACCATTGGCGGAGACTCGAGATGTTAAGATGATTCGAGAAGTTAGGGTTGATGAGAGAGGGCGAACAATGTTCCTCAGGGCTCCAGCAAATCCCATTTCTCTCTGCATTGAATAGAAATGAAGAATTTCTTGGATACACGTAAAATGCAGATTGCATTGGTAATTTGAGAAAACGAAGTCTTTGGCAGATATACCAAGCAACATATAGAAGAAAATGAAAATTAAGAATCGAAGATGCTGATTTGATATAATGGTGTAGCTGAATAGGAAGTGCGGAGTGCGGAATACGAACCTGAGTACGGAGTGAAGGAGGTCGGTCAGAGGACTTGTGGTGGCTTGTGCGGCGGAACAGAACGCCCACGGAGTGCTGCCGTGGCGGAGCTGCGGCGGAGCTGCTGGATGTGCGTTTGGGGGCTAGGGTTCGTAACAGGTTTTGTCAGGCACTAGCCAACTTCGTTGCTAACAATTGTATACACGCAAGTTTTTTTAATTTGTTTCAAAGTTTATTTAAAATTAAATCATAAAAACTAACAAATTAAAATTTTTGCTGAATTATATTTTTAATCTTTTATTATATTTTTTTATATTTATTTTAATCATTTATTTGTTAAAAGTTTATTATGATTTTTTATTTTTTATATTTAGATCGATTTAATTTTTTAAAAATAATAATTTTTTTTAATTTTAAGATATGATTTTAAATTAATTTTTTATTAATTCAAGATATAAAATTTGTAATATTATATTTATTTATATAATAATTATAAAATTAAAAAGATGCTTGAATTTAAAATAAGTCCTACCCTCTGA